GAGAAACCATCTCAGCGGATAGGATGATGGTTTTTTCAAACCCTCCCAGCGCTTTCAGCGATTTTGTGATGGCAAAGTCTAAGAAGCAAAGCACCAACATCAAATTCTGTTTCCTGCCCACGATGGCTTGTGTTTTCGACATCAAAGGAGTCGTTCGCGTTGAATTCGTTCCACATGACACCACAGTAAACTAGCATTACTACCTGTAAGTGTTGAGGCGATTGTGTGAGGCAGTTAAAAAAAAACGACCTGAATGGCGGTGATCGGAGGGCTGGCTGCCTCATCACGACAACGCGCCTGCCCACGCAGCCCTCAAAATCAACAAGTTTTGGTGACAAATCGCATGAAAACAGTTTCTCACTCCCTTTTCTCACCCGCCCTAGTCCCCTGCAACTTCTTATTACCAAGAATGACGAAAGAACATAGAAGAGGTTGTGAAAACATCACTGGGGGCACTAAAGAGCATTAGTTCAGAAGAATATAAAAATGTCTCGAACAGTGAAAAGTCCGCTGGGACAAGCGCATATTAACCAACAGACAGTATTTTGAATGGGATTAATGCTTTTAAGATGTTATCTTAAAGAAAAAAACAAATTACTAATTCCCGTTTTCTCGGTACCCCCTCGTAAGTCAACCCTCAGTTCTCTCATGTGTGTCCGCATACTATTTGCTCTTTCCTGTTGTATAAAGGCTGGGGATCTCGATTCGGGACAGAGTGAAGGATAGGCGGGACTTTTGAAGTCCTCTCGCGGAAAATCGGTACAAATAACAGGCATTACGGACAACGACAAGGAAGACCGGGATGTTTGTTGCCAGTTTATTGTCCATCAGTTAGCCACACCCTAGCCTCAGTCAGCGAAGACCTGAGACTTAAACCACGGTTTCACTTGGTCATTAAGGTTAAAGCCGTGTCAGGCGAAATGGAATGCCCTTCATTTTTAAATCGCACCGACAACCTAGGTTCAAAGTGGTGATGGTTCCATTAACGCTGTGGAGGCTGATAGTGCATGCTTCAGGTGAGAAACAGTTTCCAACGAATTCACGACTGTTCAGCAAGCTCTGTCCGGTTAAGGTAGAAAAAAGTTAAACAGGCAGAGACAGAATACAAGTTGAGACTGATCATCAGAATGTGTTGGTATGGCAATTACGTGTACCTCGTACAGCTACTAATATGCCCACGTGAGTTGCCTAAGTGCTACCGACTCTATCAGAGACAGAAGAAGAAAACGACAGGCTCTCCGATTAGACAAATGTTGAAATCCAAACTCTTTAGAGGTAAGAAAAGGATTACCGAGTGGCTTAAAATTTCACACTAACCGAAGAATTTAAGAGCCTAGTAACTTCTAGAAGGTAGGATGCTCTGCCCATTAACACACTATAAAATGGTACAGATGGATCGGGCCAGAATAATGTGTCATCGGTATAACCTTCTATTTATCTTTCGTGCATTTGTCGAGTTTCCAGACTGTTCCCTTCTGTGAGCAGTAGGCACAGCCAGGCAGCCATTTAGACCACGATATTTGCCACCCACATGACTACCTTTTCACGCACTCCGTCACAGCGAGACCCGGAGCGAGGGGGGAGGGGGGTGAGGTCAGGAAACTTTTCACCCCAATACACCAAACACGTTGCTTTAAAACGACAAGCTCCCGATACTAGCTCTATCTGACTCTAACGACGCCGGATCTAAAATATAGACGGAGCTGGATTTAGGAAAGGAGGAGATGGGGCTAGGGTTGGGGTGATGGCCCATGCATCGTGGCAACAGCAACGGCAGTCAGCTGCCAATCCATCAGCCAGCCCGGGTGCGTACGTGCCTGCGAATCTCGCGCGCGCGCGCTCAGCCGTCACACAAAGCTAACCGACGGTCTCCGCGCCGGTGAATAAGCCGCGCCAGCGACAGCAGACAGAGAGTGGGAGGAGGGTGAAGAGAACGAGGGAGAGAGAGAGAGGGAGATGGGAGTGGGTGGGAGGAGGCGAAGGGAAGGAGAGAGGCACGCGGGCAGCATGCCTGCAACTCGGGAAGGACCCTGTCACAAAGGCCAGCTAGCAGGTAGGCATGGCCGATGTCGCCTCTGGCAGCGCTACGGCAGTGGTGCAAGTTGCCTTCGCTGCACTCGGTGGACACGCACACAAACACACGCACACACTAACGCCAGTGATAGTGAGAGAGACAGCACTCGCGCTTAGACGTTGTCACACTAGACGTGGTGGTGATAGATTTGCCACCACCACCATGGAGAACCGCCCTGACGTGGGCGGAGGAGGCAACAACGCGAGTCACCAATGCACCTGGGCTGGCGGTGTCGCGGAAACCAAGTTCTGTTGATAAAAAAAGCACCAGTGTCCCCTCCCTCCCCCTAACGAATGCCGACTACTAGTGTTGCCACAGCCACCCCGTCAGTGTCCAAATATCTCGAGTGCAACGTGTTCCCCCACCTCAATACACAAATTTTGGGGTAGGTCGTCGGCAAGAGCACACTGGACGACGTTGAACCATTCAACAAGGCTGATGCAGTGGAAATTGAGAGGTACTACACACAACGGCGAGGAAGACTGGAATAGCCATTTCTAGCGTACTTTCAGTTGTCAGCTAGTCATATGCCAACCCCAGACATGAGACACCGGAGGTTTAACCCCCCAGATTAGGTCGGTCATGGAGACATAGGATGAGCAAAGGGCTCACGCTGTTAGTTGTAACCTGGAATAATGTAAGTTGTATGGAAGCGCAGTGGACTATTTGCTCCCGTTATAGGCCGAGAAAAGGCGACCATGACCTCCTAGGTAGAACTTAACGCCCGTCATCTGCACTGAAATCGGGACAGACTGCTAAAGATCACTACCATGAGACCGTCGAACATAAAAGTGTGGTAAGCATACGGACGCGTTAAATTACTCACCGGACACAGATGAACTCTTTTGCGGCTACCAGTAACGGCCTGCAGCATGTTGGCAGAGTTCATAAACTGCACGGGAAAGTAGACGCGCAGGCTGATCAGGGCGGTGGTCGATCGGTGGAGAGATGGGAGGGGATGCAGGGTGGACGGCGGAGTATGGTTAGAGGAGTTATAATCCACCAGACCAATATTCTCATAGATCTGGGTGGGAAGAGCACTCGGATCTACAACAACGCCGCAAGGTTCAGACGAAGACAGGACAGTAGAATCCGTATGTTTTTTCATATGCGAGTGGGAACTCCGACAGTTCCGAAACCGCCTGAATATGTGCATGGGGACAGCTAGACAAGGTGCTGCTGGATGCTCCATGTATAATTCCTCGCGCAGATCGATAGGAATTGGTTTGCCCAGTTCTACATGAATAGGTTTCAGGGGAGGCAAGCCATCCACGCGACTGATGTTCAGCCCACCGTAAAATATCTGTGATTGATGTTCACCCAGGTAGAAGCGAAAGGTTGTCTGCGATATTCCATCTGCAATAGGTATTTCCGTTAGGGTGGTTATGCATCTCTCCAGAGTCGAACGATGACGAAAGTTTCCGTTAGCGCGACGGCGTGAGCCTGAAGACGACTTGGGAGGTCTCCTCTTGCTGCTGGCAGCGTTACCGGCCTCGCATCCCAAAAGTGGTACCTCTGCTACTGCTGTTGCAACGGCCGACATTGCCTGTAACGAGGAAGAGTACAATATATGTTTTACTCTGCTGAGAGACAGGGAGAGGGAACTTGATAGAAAGAGATATGATGCGCCATGAAGCACGCAAGCATGCATGCACCAGCACACACACACACACACACACACACCAGCACCTTCGTAAGGTCCCGTATTGTGCTTGTGGTGTGCGTTTGTGGCAGTACTGTAGCCTACGCAGACGCAGGTGTTGTGTGTGTGTTGCTTGCTGCAGAGCCGGCCCTCAGGCATGCACTGGTGCACAGGCACGCAAACCGTACGAACACCGCAGCACATGCAAAGGAATCGATCCAGCGCATACACGCTCACAATAGTGGGAGTGTATGAATGTATAACTAAAGTGCACTCCACTCTGCCGTCGGCTTAGTAAACAGAAGCGAGCTCAAATGGCCAGAGATAGCCGCGGATAAAAAGCATGGATCGAGAGGATGCTCGGGTGGCTGCATGTTGGGCATACCAGCGTGAACGAAGTGTCGGAAACTTCGGCACGCAGACAAACCACAAAAAAGAGATCTATCAGCGGAACCTAAGTTAACGCGGCAAGGGTGCCAGCGCCCAGACGAGACGTACGGCGGCTGAGACGGCATCATCGCAGTTCATCTCGCTTGCATGTGTGATGGGTAAGTCAATTGCTGAATGACGACGAAGACGCGACGCCGAGGCGCGGAGAGAGCGAAGGCTGGGAAGGGGCAGAGGAGGCGAGGGGGAGCGAGAAGCGGGGGCACACGGGGAGGACTGCGGTGGTAGTGGTGGTGATGGTGGTGGAGTTGAGTGAGGAATGTTGTGGCGACGGCAGCATGTCTGTCGTCTGAGTGCGCGTGTCCCCCACACACACTTAGACGCACAGACACGCAAACAGCGCCCGGGCAGATAGAGGGCAGCTACTGGCGTGTGTTTGTGCGTGCGTGCCGGCTTGCATTCATGCGTGCGTGCGTGCGTGTCTGTGCCTCAGCAGAGAGCTGACTTCGCAGGCTGCGAGCCCGGCAGGACGGTCGATAATCTGCCTGCCCTGCCTCTGCCTCAACAGGCCTACCCCAACACCCCCAGTGGCTGCGATCGGGATGGTGGTGGTGGGATGCGTTTGGGGGAGGGGGTGGTGTGTCAACAGGGCTTGTGCGTGCGTAGCGGCGTGCGCACAGCCACCAGTCTTACACGAATGCATACATTCACCCCCGCCCTTTCTCATCTAGGCGCCGCTGGCGGATGGGGGCAACTGGCCCTGCGACCCACTTTAGCACTAACCGGCAGACTTCGTCAAATCATGCTCCACAAGTCGGGGACCGGAGGGAGACACCGCAGTGAGCAAGACAGCTCTGTACACTAAGGTAAAGTTATGGTTCGACCAGTAGCACCTGAGAGGAGTAAATGGCACGTCATCGTCAGCTTTATCAGTTCGTGTTATCCAATTCTGACCTAACGAAGACCTCATTACTTGAGAACACTGGTTTAGGCCTTTGGGTCACCGTTTTAACTATAGCCGTATTAGTTGTTTTCCCTGATGATGGGTTCGAGCAAGAATTCAAAACTTCAGGCAAATAAAGCTCTTGTTCCATCAATCGTGTCTCCTCCACCAAGAACTGTGCCCAAGTTTACGCAAGAGGCAGATTTCAGTACATGTTTCGGGGGACGGAGTTGCAGTTTTATTTTCGCATTCTTCATGACAGAATATGCAAATTTCCAGAATCTCGATGCGAAAGAAATAGCATCGTTTATAATCATTGGGAAGAAGCATAGAATCGAGATGACTTACCAATAAAGTCAGCGACGCTGAGAAAGACATTTCTGACCTAACAGTAGTTACTGACCAGTGGTATCCCCAGTCCATTGTGTTGGAGCGCCCATGGGCTGAGTCGGTGGTTTACAACACTTCTCAGAATGTTCACTGGTAGTCGCCGTACAACGGTCTGTGGTTTTTAAACCCTCAGTACAGGGAAAAAACGAAATCGCCCCTATTTCATTTCCAAAATCAGCGTAGACTAGTAGCCGACCACTCTTACATGACGGACTTTAGAACACTTCCTTTGGCAGAATATGAGGTGGGGGCTTGCAAGCCAAGAGATGTTCGTTCTGGGACGAACTTGAACCAATCATTCCCTGAAAGCGGCGGCGAGTGCTTTACATCTAAGCACATCTAAGTTTTATAACTTGACAATTATTTTTTATTCCTGACTTTTGTAAGGCAGACAGCGAGAATTCGGGGCACGGCAATGGGATCTAATTTCGAGAAAGGTGTATTATGCTTCAGTGATTTCCCTGTTTCCCGTAGCTTACGAAGGAGCTTATCTAATTGTCCAAATAAGGGAACATGCAATTAGTTAATGAACATGAATTCGGTCTGTATGATATAAATTTGGAGACTTGCAGACTTACCGCGAACGTTGGCGTCCACCCGGCCGACTGACGTGCACAAATGGCTGGCATACGTGTGCACGCGCCTAAATGTATGGTTGCATTGGACTGTTAAGAGTTCTGTCCTCCCATTGGCTGATTGCCCTATCGATTTTTAATCGATAGCCTCAACGAGTCTTCAAATATGAGCCAGATGTTCAGTCGAGTCGTTACGGATAAGAAAACAACTCAACTCGTCCACCTGATGAGGAGAAACCAGGATTTTAACTTTATAGAGTTTATTTAACACTTGCGCGACCGAAATAAGAAGAAACTGCATTTTCCGTGCGCGCTTTCGAACGAAACACCTTCAAGATCGAGGCATAAGTATCCTTGGCGCCCCTAACTGAAATCAAGGCATATGCCAGTCCTCTGAATTCATGCTTTTCGTCACATCGGAACCTTACAAGTAACTAATGGTGCTCTCCGATATGTATCTAGTACAGTGGACTGCCCGGGCACGGAATAATCAGAATTTGTGACAGACCTACTCTCTACTCGACCGTTTTGTAAGCTGCCATCGTGCATGGCATAATCTCATGCTAAAATTTGAATTACAGAGATCCGCATTCTTTATGGAAACTCGCAAACTGTTTTAAAGACTTCTCGCATTCTCCGGCATGAAATGGGCGTTTACGTATCCGCACCCTGAGAATGGCTTGTTTCGTGACGTAATAAGTGGACCGTTCTGTTTTTCGCTAGTGTCTGGGTTTTAGTCTCGCCTTACTGACTTCTCCTCAACGGCGTCTTACAGCCAGTATCTAAATGGGAAATTAGCCCTATTATTTATTCCATAACCAGACGGTTTGAGCTATTATTAACACTGCAAGTGAGTGTTCTGGCTGAGCGCCGATGATGTCATACATCACAAAGCCAAACACAAGATCCCTACCTGTAATGCTGAGGTCTACTGTAATTAGCACTTTTGCGTGACGACTGCTTTGTCTTCGTACTGCGAATTCCCTAATGAAAAGTTAATAATTGTCTTCACAAACTTCTGGGAATACCATAATTATAAAATGATCGAAATAACAGAATTTGTCCTACTATTATCACAAGCACTACTACTGCCATCACTACCACCACGAGTGATGTCAGCGCCATGACCACTCCGATCCACGCGGGACTGACTCAACACTGTCACCAAGGCAGCTCAAACTGTGTCGAGGCGGCACTGCGCAAAGGCGATAAGTAACCGCCACCTGCCGTGCTGAATCGGATCAGTAGCAGGCACAGAAGAAAAAAACTTAAAGTAGTTCGTCCTTCTCTACTGGGAAGCTCGGCATATGAAAGGAGACAGTAATCAGCACATTATGTAACAGTACACCGCGCCAAAATCGCAAAACAGTTGAGTGTTCATTGACGTTTCAGGTAAACTATTGACGAACAGACGTCTCACTAACTGGCCTATATATAAGAAGGGAGGAAGTGGAAGCTGACTCTTGATTTCTGGATTAAACCTCACCTCCTTCAATCTTCAACATAACTGCCTTTACACGACCGCTAGACGAACGCTAAACCGATCACCAGCATGTTCCATGTAAGTCAATACTACGACACTGTGCAAGTGATTCTTTCTGGTCTAAAGGGACTTTAGCATTGTACTCGACGTTTAAATGTCTACTTAACAAGCCTGTCTCTGATGGAGGAGAGGACTGGGGGCTGTATGCTAATTTTCATCACTAAAACCCTAGTAATGCCTGCATAAGAGTATTGATTCATATTGTAATTTCTGTCGACAGTGCTGGCTACTGTGGAATCAGGGCTGAACGCTG